TCTTAATTTCTCCACTGTGGCAGTCGTTACCAGGGCGTTCAGGTCAGGTCCCAGACCGTCCCAAATGAAGTGTATGAACACAAACATTTTATTGCAAGATAAACATACTGAGGTGTGTTGATTGGAGGTCGAGGATGCAAAGGATCGTCGCCTCTCTCTCTCTCTCTCTCTCTCTCTCTCTCTCTCTCTCTCTCTCTCTCTCTCTCTCTCTCTCCCCACCCCCCCCCCCCCGCCCGCCTCCCATCCATGGGTGTGTATGTGTACCCCAAAGGAATTGTCTAGTGAAAACCAAGCAGGCATGATAAATAAACAGAACAGCCTCACCAAAAACATCCGGTTCAAGAGACCTTCGTGTGCATGGGCGAGATTATCCTCCCTCACCCCCCCCCCCCCCTTTCTCCCTTTTTTTTTGGCCTGAGAGACACGTGCAGATTTGCAAAATCTTAACCATATGGGCACTTGGAAACTATTTAGTGCACAAGTTGGAAGAGAGAGAGAGAGAGAGAGAGAGAGAGAGAGAGAGAGAGAGAGCTGAACCCAAGTTGCGATGAAAGGAGGGTAAGGAACAAGAAAGAAAAAAGTTAAGTCACAGCGTTTGTTGAGATAGAGCACTGGAGAGAGTTTTAGCTTTGGGGGCAAGAAGGTGGGCCAGTGGATAGATAGATTATCTGCTGATGGGAATAATGTCGAGCGCGGAGGGTGAGAACAGGGAAACCGTTTGGCAGACGGGGGCCAGTTTTACCGCGTAGAAACCTCCGTAGTTTATGGCAATTGCAGTTTATTTTCGAAGATGGCGCGCGGATGAAGAGACCAGGAGGTAACGGAGCTTCTGTGTTATTTATTAAACCGTGTGATCTGGCATTACTGGAACAGCTCAGGCAAGGACTACTGGAATAGTTCGTAGAAGAATGTCTGGTAGATTGTGATCGCAGCCTGGATTAACAAATTGTGTTCTTGTCTGGATTACAGATAGTTATATAGTTGTGAATGCCGGTACTGTTGATTCGGTGAAAAGAAATTGTCAGTTTTGATGGCAGTCAGGACTCGTATGTGTTTTGAATTATTGTTGTGTTTTTCCCCTTTTAGCGATAGATAAATTGCAATATCGCCACAAGTTAAGGAGATACCCGAGAGTCGGAAAGGTTGATAAGGGTATATAACACTTACGTACGCGTGATAATTGTGGTATTTCACGGCAGAAAAGACGAACTGATCCAAGAAGCATTTCGTCTGTATGGTTATTGGATATTTGGAGTTGCGCTGTGTCTGTTTACATTACGCCTGTAATTTGTGGGTCGACACGTCCGACCCTTTCTGGCATTTGTTGACCAGATTAGCCGGATTATAATTTCTGCGGAAACTAACAGAGCCTCTGCTAGTGTCTGGATAAGTACGGTTTCTAAACGGATTCCTAGTTCCTCCAGCTGACGATGTCTAGCTTGGCATTCTTATATATGTAATTGTTAGAGCAACTGCAGTGTTCTGTTTCCTTGGGACATCTCATGTGACGGATTAATGGATATATATATAAAAATATTGATTAGTGCTTTGTTTAGGGAGAAGGAAGTGTAGGTGTTACGGCAGACCATAGAGGAGGAAGAAATTGCTTATTTAAGAATCGTCATTAAAGCCAGCTGGACGTTTTTGTGTATGCTCTTCCGGCACCCGACACCTACGTCGTCGTGCTGTCATTTTCATACATTGGTTCTGACCAGATTCATAATTATTTCTGAATTCACACATCCTTCATAGATAAGAACTCTGCATAATGCCATCGTCGTTACGTTAAAAGGAGCACACATTTAGGGATTTATAACCAGCTAGACAACGTCAAAGAACAGTGTTTTTCTAGCCAGTTCTTGAGCAAATTAAGAATCGAATCACACCACAGGTATCGATGGTGTGAGGCAGAATTCAATTCCAGACCATGT